CGCACAGACGCATACGCATACACATGTATGTGTGTGTGTACATATATACATACATGAATATGTAATATATATATATATACATGTGATATATATATATATGCATACATATGTATGTATGTAAGTATGTGTGTGTTTTGTGTTTATACACTTGTGTGTGTGTGTGCGCGCGCGTGTGCTTACACACACGCACGCACACACACACACACACACACACACACACACACACACACACACACACACACACACACACACACACACACACACACACACACACACAAACACAAACACAAACACAAACACACAAACTCACGCACGGACGCACACACGCACACGCATACACATGTATGTGTGTGTACATATACATGCATGAATATGTAATATATGTATGTATATATATGTATAAATTTGTAATATATGTAAGTATATATATATGTATAAATATGTACATATATGTATATATATATTTAAACAAACGCAAACACACGCACACGCACAGACGCACACACATACATATGTATGTGTGTGTGTACATATATACATACATGAATATGTAATATATATATATACATGTGATATATATATATATACACACACATGTATGTAAGTATCTGTGTTTTGTGTCTATACACTTCTGTGTGTGCGCGCGCGCGCGCACACACACACGCGCGCACGCACGCACGCACGCACGCACACACACACACACGCGCGCACGCACGCACGCACGCACACGCATACACATGTATGTGTGTGTACATATATACATACATGCATATATATATATATACATGTGATATATATATATATATATATACACATGTATGTATGTATGTACGGTGGGCGAGTCTATCTTTGATATGGCGGGTTGAGAACCACCAACAATGATTACCTAACCAACTACTCCCCTGGGGAAGGATCAATTGTTAGCCGCCCAGGTGTTAAACTGTTAGATTCTCAACATGTATTTTGATTTGTTTATATACAATGTTATGTCGATTAACTGTACTGTTTTGACCGGCCACCTTTTTGCACTGATGATGAGGCTTGGATTTTGAGCTTACATTAATACTCCATTAATATCAAATTTACTCCTAAGATACCATTGTTATCACCATATTTTTTATAGTATTTCTTTTGGGTTACTTTGCAGTAGATTTTGTCGGATTTATTGAAAATTGACATTCTTCTTAATTTACTTTACACACTATTGGATTTTTTTTTCTTGAATTTTATTTATTTATTTTTTTTTGTAAATCTAACTCGTGGTATCTTTAATAGATACACATTTTATGTATATATTTATACATATATATATATACATGTATATACTTTTGTATGTATATGTACATGTATTTATGTATTTACATGTATATTTATTTATGTATGTATATGTATAAGTATGTACATACTATAAATATGTATCTGTATGTGTATGTATATATATATATATATTTATGTATATATATATGAATATATGTATGTACATATATGTATGTATATATGTATAACCCAATGCCGACGGGCATGACGTTTCTATACGCGCCATGCCCACTGTGAGTTACTTGTTTATATTTTTTACACATTCTGAATATTTTTTGAGGCACCTCCTGCAGCCGAGGGCCGAGCTAAGGGCGTGGGCGTCTGTTGTTGCACTTATTGGAGTATTTCTGGCGATCCAGCTCGACTATATTTTGAGAACTTGTTTCATTTGAAGAAAGTTTTTCTTTAACGTTGTAGGGATTTCGGCGTTGTTAGAAGTTACAGCGTTGTTAGAAATTTCAGCGTCGTTAGAAACGAACCGGCCTTGGTTCTTGTGACGATTTATTTTCTTTTATTTTTTGTAGGGAGATTCCAGCGTTGTTTAGGTGCATGCGGTTCGGTAGAGTTTCGGCGTTGTTAGCTATTCTGGGATATAATTTATCTAAAAAGATATTTTACATATACATTTTTTTGGTGTTCGATATATTTTTAAGTATTGACGAAGTTTTTTTTTCTATTTTTATTATTTTCATCATTCTTGTTATTGTTTTGTCTCCGAAATGGTTTATTTCAACATTTTTTTAAACTATTCATAGTACTAGTAAAGAATACATTTTCCCGCCTATTCAAATCAGGTAAGGTCACAAGGTCTACTTATTGACTCCTTTGTGGCCAAGCACTAGCAGAGCCATGTATGTGCAGACATATCACAAAAAATATAAGTAATGATAATTGCGATTGCGATAAATATGTACTTATGTGTGTAAATATATGATATATATAAACAAACGCGCGCGCGCACACACGCTTACAATTACACACACACACACATATATGTATGTGTGTGTGTCTGTGCATATATACATTCATGCATATGTAATATATATATATACATGTGATATATATATATGTACACATGTGTGTATGTAAGTATATGTGTGTTTTTGTGTTTTTATACTCATGCGTCTGTGTGCGCGCGTGCTTGCGTGCGCGTGTGCTGCGCGCATTCATGCACACAGTGAGTCTATCGTCGATATGATGGGATGAGAACCACTAACAATGATTACCTAACCAACGACTCCCCTGGGGAAGGATCACTTATTAGCCGCCCCAGTATAAGAATCCAGTCAAGTACATGATGTCAAGTAGTTCGTCAAACAGCGCATCGTTGGTGGCAGATATGAGCATGTATATATATATATATATGTATGTGTGTGTGTGTAAAGTATATATAGGTGTATATATATACATAAATATACCTATATATATACACATACACGTGTGTGTGTATATATGTATACATATACATATATATACATACGTATATACATAAACATTATATGTATATATATGTATGTGTATATATATATGTAAATATGTGCATATATGTATGTGTATATTTGTATATATGTGTATCTGCATATATATCTACATATATAAATATCGATAAATATATATATACATGTGCATATATGTCTATATACACATATACATAGATTTATGTGTATATATGGACTTGTATGTATATATGTATATATACGTACACATACATATGGATATGCATATATATATATATATATATATATATATATATATATATATATATATTTCCATATGCATATGTATACATATACACATATATACGTATATGTAAAAATATTTGAATATATGTGTTTGCATGTTTGTGAATAAATGTACAAGAATATAAGTATGTGCACATGTGTGTATATATGTGTATTTCTTACTAATGGGTAGTAAGATGTGAATGGTAAAATCCCGATAATTCCTAGTTATCGAGAAGTAGGTCCTGACCAATACGTTTGAATGGAAGCAAGATCTCAAGCATCCCTTTTTAGTGGTAGTGAGATCACTACCTTTTCTTTTGAATGGTAGAGACCTTGAGCATTCCTAGTGATTGGCAGTGAGATCTCGTTTATTTCTAATGAATGGTATTTAGCTCCCGAGCATTCCTAGTGCTGAATACTTGTTGCATCCCAAGCATTCCTAGTGAATATTTGTTAAATCCCGATCATTCCCGGTGGTTGTTTGGTTCCGACCATTCATTGTGAATAATAGACATTCCGAGCATAGTGAAAGGTAAGTGAGGTCACTAGCATTTCTAGTGATGAGTAGTGGGATTCCGAGCATACCTATTGAATGGAAGAGCGATCCTGACCATTCGTTTTGAATTATAGAAATATTCCAAGCATTCCTGGTGAATACTAGCGCTATCCTGAACGTTATTTTTGAAAGGTAGGAAGTACCCCAGCATTCTTAGTGAATGGTATTAAATGGTAGTGAGATCATGAAAATAACCATTGAATGGTAGCAAGGTCACAGGCATTGCTAGTGAATGATAGCTAGAGCCTAAGGATTCCTATTGAATGGTAGTGAGGTCACGAGCATTCACGAGTGAATGGTAGAGATCCCAAAAACATTCCATATAAAGATTCTGAGAATTCCCAGTGTATAGTAGCAAGATCCAGAGCATTCCTAGCCAATGGTAGATCCAGACCATTCCTTATTGAAAGCCAGTTGGATCCCAAACATTTCTTTTCAATGGTAGTGAGATCCTGATTTCTCTTGAATGGTAGAGAAAGCCCTCCTAGTGAATGGTACTTAGATCCCAAACATTCCTTTTGAATGATAGTAAGATTCCAAACGTTCCTATTGAATGATAATTAGATCATTTAGCATTAGATCCTGGGCATTGCAAGTGAACTGTAGTGAGGTCACACGCAGTCCTATTCCTAGTGATTGATAGTTCTATCCCAAGCATTCCTGGAGAATGGTAGTTACTTCCCGAACATTTCTATGGAAAGATAGTTAGATGCCAAATATTCCCTTTGAATGGTAGGTAAATCCCGTGGATTCCTTTTGAATGGTAGTTCCCAAGCATTCCAATTAAATGGTAGTTAGATCCTTTCATTGCTAGTGTAAGGTAGCGAGATCCTGATTATTATATTTGAATCCTTAGCAGTTCCTTTTGAATTTTACATCCTGATTATCCCTTTTGAAAGGTGAGATCCTGAGCAATGTTAGGGAATGGTAGTTAGATCTCGAGCATTCATAGTGATTAGTAGTGAGATCCTGAACATTCCTTTTGAATGACAGTTAAATCCCTAGTATTCCTATTGAGTGGTAGTTAGATCCCGAGCATTCATATGTATGTATGTATTGAGGCCACGAGCATTCTTAGTAATAAATCCTGAGAATTCCTAGCGAATGATAGTGAGGTCCTGAGCATACCTAATGGAAATTATATAGATCCCGAGCATTATTAGTGAATCGTAGTTAGATCCTTTGCATTCCTGGTGAACGGTGGATCCGAACATTCCTCTTTAATGGTAGTTAGATCCCATACATTCCATTTGAATGGTAGTTAAATCCTGAGCATTCCTAGTGAACAATAATGAGGTCACAAGCATTCCATTTAATAGGCAATGAGATCCTGAGCATTATGAACGGTATTGAGACCTAGAGTATTTTTGAATGTTAGTCGAGATCTTGAGCATTCCTTTGGAATGGTAGGAAGAACCCACGACTCCAGACACAACAGCCGTGGTGGACGCGACAAGAGCAAGTGCGTGTGGCCTTCGCCAGGACAGAGTTTCGCCTGCGCTCATTTCTGTTAAGGCGCCTTTGGAAGCGCATGGTCAGGAACACCAGCCTCCATCACGCAACGTCTCAACAATAATTAACCTTTGGCTCCACTGCCTCAGTTTTATCTTATTGTTTTAACATTAGATTTTAGAGAGAAGCTGACAGAGACAGAGGAAGAGAGACAGGCAGAGTCCGAGAGAGAGGGAGAGAGAAAGGGAGAGGTGGGAGAGAGAGAGGGAGAGGTGGGAGAGAGAGGGAGAGGTGGGAGAGAGAGGGAGAGGTGGGAGAGAGAGGGAGAGGTGGGAGAGAGAGAGGGAGATGTGGGAGAGAGGGAGAGGGGAGAGACCATCCAACACCATAACTACCACCACCACCCCCACCCCCGTCACCATCAACACCATCACCAACACCACCACCACCAACACCATTACCTCCACCAACACCATCACCTCCGCCAACACCACCTCCACCAACACCATCACCTCCATCAACACCATCACCTCCACCAACACCAACACCATCACCTCCACCACCACCGCCATCACCTCCATCACCTCCTCCAGGACCGCCTCCAGGTCCTCCTCCAGATCCGCCTCCAGGTCCTCCTCCAGGTCCTCCAGGTCCACCTCCAGGTCCACCTCCAGGTCCGCCTCCAGGTCTTCCTCCAGATCCGCCTCCTGGTCCTCCTCCAGGTCCTCCAGGTCCACCTCCAGGTCCACCTCCAGGTCCACCTCCAGGTCTTCCTCCAGATCCGCCTCCTGGTCATCCAGGTCCACCTCCAGGTCTTCCTCCAGGTCCTCCAGATCCGCCTCCTGGTCCTCCTCCAGGTCCTCCTCCAGGTCCTCCAGGTCCAGATCCGGATCCTGGTCCTCCTCCGGGTCCGCCGCCAGGTCCTGCTCCAGGTCTTCTTCCTGGTCCTCCTCCAGGTCCTCCAGATCCGCCTCCTGGTCCTCCTCCAGGTCCGCCTCCATGTCTTCCTCCAGGTCCTCCAGATCCGCCTCCTGGTCCTCCTCCAGGTCCTCCTCCAGGTCCTCCAGGTCCAGATCCGGATCCTGGTCCTCCTCCGGGTCCGCCGCCAGGTCCTGCTCCAGGTCTTCTTCCTGGTCCTCCTCCAGGTCCTCCAGATCCGCCTCCTGGTCCTCCTCCAGGTCCGCCTCCATGTCTTCCTCCAGGTCCTCCAGATCCGCCTCCTGGTCCTCCTCCAGGTCCTCCAGATCCGCCTCCTGGTCCTCCTCCAAGTCCTCCAGGTCCGCCTCCAGGTCTTCCTCCAGGTCCTCCAGATCCGCCCTCAAGTCCGCCTCCAGGTCCTCCAGGTCTTCCACCTGGTCCTCCTGTAGGTCCGCCTCCTGGTCCTCCAGGTCTGCCTCCTGGTCCTCCTGCAGGTCTGCCTCCTGGTCCTCCTTCAGGTCTTCAAGGTCCGCCTCCTGGTCCTCCAGGTCCTCCAGGTCCGTCTCCAAGTCCTCCTCCAGGTCCTCCAGATCCGCCTCCAGATCTTCCTCCAGGTCCTCCAGATCCGCCTCCAGATCTTCCTCCAGGTCCGCCTTCAGATCCTTTTCCAGATCTTCCAGGTCCTCCAGGTCCGCCTCCTGGTCCTCCAGGTCCTCCTCCAGGTCCGTCTCCAGGTCTTCCTCCAGGTCCTCCAGATCCGCCTCCTGGTCCTCCAGGTCCGCCTCCAGATCCGCCCCCAGGTCCTCCAGGTCTTCCAGGTCCTTCAGATCCTCCTCCAGGTCCGCCTTCAGATTCTTTTCCAGATCCTCCAGGTCCTCCAGGTCCGCCTCCAGGTCTTCCTCCTGGTCCTCCTCCAAGTCCTCCTCCAGCTCCGCCTCCTGGTCGTCCAGGTTCGCCTCCAGGTCTTCCTCCAGGTCCTCCAGACCCG